CTGTATACTTTCAAAACAAGAGAGGGAGGTTTAAAATGGAAAAATTACCGCACCGCACCCTAAGAAGCTCCTTCCCAGCCTCCTCTCCTTCACTCAGGGTCAGACTTGTCTCACAGTCTGGTGGGTCTCCCAGCTTCTCCCAGATTTCCCCAGCTTATCCCAGCTTCTTCTCCATTTTCCCTCACAGCTATGTCCCCTATCAATTTATTGACATTTGCTTCTCATATGATGTCCCTGGATGAACACAAATACAAATTCATTTTATAAAATGAATATATCCATGACAGCAAAACCAGGCAATGGCAATGTAAGTAAGGGAAAGGGCAGTAAAGGCCAGTCTCATTTATGAACGCAGTAAAAAGTTCCAAACCAAAACACTAGCATACTAAATTTAGCAATGTATATGAAAGTAATACTCTGACCAAGTTGGTTTAAAAGCAAGTTTGGTTTAATACTAGAAAATCAATTAAGGTCTGGGAAAAGAAACAAGATTTATAATAGTTGAAAGGGAAGAAAGAAATCTGTTATTATCCCTAGATGGTGTGATGTTCTATATGGAAAAACCAAAAGAATCTACAGATAACTTACTAGAATTAGAAACCTTAATAAACTTGTTTGATATATGATTAATATATGAATTTTAAAATACCATGTGCAATAGCATAAAAAGCAAGGAACTATATTAAGACTTATGCACGATCTTTATTGATAAAATTATTCAAAATTTTATGAAGGTATTAATAAGATTTAAATAGATATAAGTACACCTTGTTCATTTTTAGGACAACACATTATCATAAAAACGTCAATCCTGCCAAGTAGATGTAGCAAAATCCCTAAAGGATTTGTTTCTGTGAAATTTGAAAAACTGATTCCAAAATTTATGTTGATGAGGGGGAGGGTACAGCTCAGTGGCAGAGAGCATGCTCAGCATGCACAGGGTCCTAGGTTCAATCCCCAGCACCACCATTAAAAAAAAAACAAACTTCTACTGATGAACAAAGACCCCAGAAAAGAAGCAGTGGGCTCTCACTCTGAGAATTCACCTGCCTTATCACATGACTCAGCATCCAGCAGCAGCTGGTTTCACAGAAAGATGGAACCATTACCCGGGCAGTTACCATACCAGCTGGGAGACAACACCCTGTGCAGCTGGGTGCTGTCCTGCAGCCGTGTGGTATATGCCTTCATCCAGAGGACACTATGTGGTGCTGCCTCCCCCAAAGCCAGGAACCCTCATAGACCACCGGAAGGACCTTTACTCCCCCGTCACCACAACACGGGGCTCGGTAGGTTTGGAGATCCTAGTGTCCAAGAGATGAACACTTCCATCTGAGAACTGACTATGAAGTAGAAGCTGGAGCTGTCCCCAGGCTAAGCTGAGCTCTCATGCGTGGAGCCAACAGGAAGAGGAAGTGGCGATTACACCGAACAAGGTGCCTGATGGTTCCTTGGAACTGACAGGCAGAAGACATAATCCGAGTGAGGGCTGGGAGTCAGGGGGAAGGCGGCGAGTCGGGGCAGGGGTCACAGAGGTCAGTCCATCTTGTCTAGATCTGTTAGTTGGGCTGAAGTATCCCAGAGGCTTTGGGCAACGTGAGGATCTTGGGCAGCTTTAGGGGCAAGAGTTATCACACAGGAACTGCTAAAATGTTTTCCAGAGATGCCATCTAGCTCCTTTGCCAAGCTCAGGTAGAGCACTGGGACTGCACCCTGTTTGCTGTTCTGCGGAGACACGGGGGTAGGGGAGGAGGAGGAGGAATAAAAGCCAGTCAGGCTGTAGCCTGAAGGGACACGCTGAGCAGCAGACCCCCTGCCCCAACCCCTTCAGGCAGAGCCAGCTCCTCCCCACCCACCTTAAAGAAGAAGCTAAGGAGCCAGAAGATGAAACGATATAACCAAGAGAAATTCTTCATGATCTCCGTGTACACAATGCCAGGGTCCACGGAGTTCACAGTCACACCTGCGAGAGACAGAGACAACGGTAGTGCAAAGTGCAGTGAGAGGAGGAAAGGGTTAAACGTGGCTCTAGGATGTGCAAAGAGGGGAGGGCCCTACCAGCCCTGCCCGGTGGAGGTGACCAGGGACTCCAGGTGGTGCCAGAAGTCAGGGATCTGTAACTCACATTAATGGCGATGTCCGAGCCAGGAAGCGGACTTAATTATTTGAAAGTGTCGGGTGAACTTTAGGGGGAACACGATGGATGGCGTTGGTATTGGAAAATACTGGGAGACGGAGTTGTGGGTGATGAGCGTTGGAAAAAGGGTTGAAGGGGAGACGTGAAGATGGGGTTGAGAGAAATAGAGGGCGCACAGATGACAAAGGGTGGAGGTTAATAGCTGGGCTTGGATGATATTTGGGAATATTTCATGGTCAGAACATTCTGGGATGAGACATGAAGGACTGGGAGGAAGGACTGGGAGGAAGCCCTGGCAGTGGAGGAGGAGGGGCCGCCAGGGGCAATTACCTGTCCCTTGAAGTCTCTGGGCAAGCTTCCCAGTGAATGAGGCCAAAAGCAGTTTGCTGCAGTCATAGTTCTGGTTGAAGGTCAAAGGTCTACCAGCCCCTGTCAGATGTTTCTCGTCAATGTACCCTTTCTCTTGCCGGAAGGAAGACACGTTGACCACTCGGGCTGCCCCCGCCCGTTGTAGGGCCCCTGGGAGGAGAGAGGACCACACACTCTCAGGGCAAGGCCGGGAGTTCACGCCCACGCCCGCCCCCCAGCCTGCTTCTCCAGGAGCCCCCGGGGGGGCGGGGCCCCTCCTGGGCTGTCAGGAGCGCGGCCCCACACCCACCCCCGCGCAGGCGCCCAGGTGAGGCGCGGGGGAGCTGGGTGTGCCAGAGGCTGCGTTTCCGTTCCAGCTGCTTTCCTCACGCTTTTCCTCTTGTATTTCAGTGTGTCTTTTGTTTTGTTTGGGGGTTTTGTTTTTCGGTCTTTGTGGGAGTTTTTTGGTTTCCTTTCCTAAAATTAAAGTGGGGTTTTGCCTTGCTCTTCTCACCTGCCAGCTGGAGGTAATGCAATTGACCCTGGTTCATGTTTTTATCTCACTGACGGCTAAGAGAGGGAAGGAGAGACTGGAAACGCTGTGAAAGCTGTCTTTCACACATTCATAGATTCAGTCACTTACTTATTCATCGCAGGACTATATCCATTAGGCCCCTGGACTATGAAAGACACAAGCTACCTGCTAAGGACATATGGGTGCTAAGTTTAGGGGACAAGAAACGTATGCAGAAATACTTGGAAAAGTGGGGCTTTAAAATTTTTTTTGAACTACCTTAAAAAAAAGGAAAGTATAATTACTCTCAAGAGAACAAGTTAAACCTTAAAAAAAGGAAAAGAAAAAAAAGAGTATCTAACTCTAATAAAAAGAAAGAACTCCGGATTATATAAAGTATGAAAGATACTAGCTGTCACCTATGAGTTTACTTATTCTTTCAAAATGCTAAGACTGTCTTGAGCCTACATTTAAAGGAAGAATCACAAATGAAAAGTTGAGCAGGAGGTATGTAGCGAAAACTTTTTGGAGAGAAAATTATTCTTAAAGAGGACAATGAACCCCAAACTTTCAGAGACAGTGACATAAAGGCCAAAGGGGCTCACAGCCAAGCTGGAGGCTGATCTTCATGCAGCAGCGTCAGTGCAGGAACAGAGACGGGCACAGAGGTGAAGGGAGCCCTGGAAATGGGGGCAGCTGGGGAGGCAGAGGGGTCAGGGCAGAGTCCACAGCACAAGCGGTATCTGTGCTGAGTGTTGGCAGCTGAGCTAAAGCTACTCTGCCTTAAAGGGATGGGAAGGGATATTCCAGATAAAGGAAAACCGATGTGCAAAAGTGCAGCCAGAATTAAAACAGAGTGTGGTCCAAGAGATACAGATTAGCTGGCTGGTGACAAGAGTGTAGGTTTGGGAAAGGCAACGGTGAGGCTCTCAGTCTGCAGAGGGACTTGTAAGTGGAGAGAAGCAGCTTAGTTTTTATATGTATAAAGCGTAGACTACCTTCAAAGGACCTGAAGCAAGACAGTGGTATGATGAACGGTGATTTAGTGGCAGGAGAGAAGACAGGAGAGAAGACAGTTAAAGGAACTATTACTAAGCAAGGCACAGACTGGCTGTTGTAGCATATTCCGCTTGCTGGAAAGGGGAAAAAAACATTTATACTCGCAAATGCATCGTGTTTGACCTTGCTCTTTCTGCACTTTACCGTTGGGGTTACTTTAATTGCCCGCTAAAGGGAACATGAGACCCTGGCACTGGCAGCTGCCCCCCAGGAGGGGGATGGGGAGCTGCTTTTCAAGGAGAGGAGGAGACTTCTTTCTTTCCTATTCTTCCTTTTTTTCTGCATATCCTTTTGTATACTTTCACACTTTCAATTTTGTACTTTGGACGTGTATTACCTGGCCAAAAATTAATTTGCTTTTTAAGAGGTCATTAGACCATCTAGAAAACATTGTTAGGGAGGATGTACCTGCCACCCTCCTCCACCTCCCCAGGGAGACCGTCCTTAATCCTAGCAGCCTAGTGACCTCAGAAAGCTTTTGTTGAGATGAGTGACTCCTGGTCGGGCTAGTACTCAAACCTGGGGGAAGGGGAGGCGGCCTGCATAGACCTTACACCTTCTTGCTGCTCATATTTGGGGCTGACTGATTCCATTACCAGCCTCCTAATCCAGGCTGCTGCCAAGTGGGTTCTCCTGCTGTGTGCAGCAAAAGTATACTGAGGCATCGTTCAGCAAGCATCTGGCGGCCATGGGAGGCGGTAAGACATGAAAATGCCAGAGGAATGAAGACACAGGGGCCGCACAGAAGATAAGCACCCATCCTTCCTTACCTTGGAGCAGATTTGTGAGCAGAAAGGGTCCAGTGTAGTCGGTGGCAAAGGTGACATCAAGGCCCTCTGGGGTAAGTGTTGTGGGCAATCTTGGGAGGAGATGAAAACATAGGTGGTGGGTGATAGAATGACAACCCTGAGGGAGATGATGTCTGGGGAGGATATATGCGGGTTCAGTAGAAAAGCCACAGGAGCATGTATGTGCCAAGATCGGGGCAGTGAAGCCTGAAGCTACAACTTAAGGTAGACTTTTTAGGACAGTGTCCGAATTAAGAGTGTTTCCACAGGATATACAGTTTAGGCTTGGGGGATGCCTGATTTGGGGTCCCTGAGCCAGAAAGGAGGCTCCTGAAATGCGTTTAGGGGAAGTAAGTGAAGACACACACCGCAGACTGCAGCATTGTTAACCAGCAGGTGTATCTCTGGATGCTCGCGCAGAAGCCACTAAGCAAAGCTCCGGATGGAGACCATTGAGCTCATGTCCACCTCACCAAGCAGGAGCTGGTTGCTC